CTTGTTTATTTTCCCATTCTTCTCACAACCTCTTATATGTAATTTTGYATAGCAATGAGGGTCTCCCTTCATTTCCATTCCTTGATTTTTAATACATATAAATGTATATAGGGCTGGGGATGTGGCTCAAGTGGTAGCGCGCTCGCCTGGCATGTGTGTGGCCCGGGTTCTATCCTCAGCACCACATACAAAGATGTTGTGTCTGCTGAAAACTAAAGAATAAATATTAAAATTCTCTCTCTTTTAAAAACAATGTATATAAATACATATTATATACATTTATTATATAAATATAACATACATTTATTTTTTTAAAAAAATTTAATTGTTGATAGACCTTTATTTTATTTATGTATTTATATGTGGTGCTGAGAATCGAACCCAGTATCTCACACATGCCAGGCAAGTGCACTACTGCTGCATCCCAGCCCCAGCCCTAATATACATTTATCATATAAAGTATATGTAAATATAACAAACATAAAATATATATGTATATAGAACATATATATACATACAACTTTATACATACACTATATATAACTACATACACACACACATTGTTATGGTTTATGAGATGTCCTCAAAAAGCTCATGTGTTAGACAATGCAAGGATATTCAGAGGTGAATTGATTGGGTTATGAGAGCTTTAACCCAATCAGTGAATTATTCTCCTAATGGGTGTCAAGTGAGTGGTAACCTGAAAGCAGGTAGGGTGTGGCTGGGGGAGGTGGGCATTGGGGGTGTGCCTTTGGGGCAAATATTTTGTATCTAGAGAGTGGAGTCTCTCTCTGCTTCTTGATCTTGTCCTGAGCTGCTTCCCTTTACCATACTCTCCGACCAGACCATGATGTCCTGCCTCATCTTGAGCCCTGAGGAATGGTGTAGGTTGTTTATGAACTGAGACCTCTGAAACCATGTTCCCCCCAAAAAACTTTTATTCCTCTAAACTTTTTCTTATAATGTTTTTCAGTAACAGTAACAAAAAAGCTGACTAAAACACACACATACACAATTTTAAAATATGAACATATTAATACATATACAACCCAAAGTATATATTCTTATACTGGTAACTGTGTCATGGTCCTCTTTTGCTTCTCAAAATTTTACCTAGGCTCATAATCTTAACTTTAAACTTTCTCTGAATAGAGAGGTAATTTGTGAAGTTAATAGGAGAATAATGGTGGCTAAATTCAAATACTTCAAGATAAGGGCATTTGTAACTAAGAACTAAATTGACAGTTATAAGGATAAAAAACTTATATACTGCATTTTAAGGTATCACACAAGTAAAAAGAAGTTACATTAATATCAAATCTAGAAAATACCAAATATGAACTTTATGGTTTTTTGCAATACATTTAAAGATGATTGTAAATTTTCATCATCATAATTTTCAAATACAAGAGAATACTGTCATACTTGGTGGTCCACATCATGATACTACTTTATAAGTTAAATAAAGAAGTTATTATTGATTATAAAGGCTGGAAGTAATTTGTATTAAGGCTTTTAGGGTCTAGCTGAGAGATTTATGCAAACCCTTCCTCTCAGACCTAGGTTTTGAAGAGGTACCAGGTATTTGGTGGAGATGACTAGCATTTAGAAATGCTGGATAATGACTATTCATCATTCATAATCCAGCATAAATGTCATGCTTGCTTATGTGATTTCACAGGTAGACTATGGTGTTTCAATTCCTGGGCTATGTAGCATTATGTGTATATACTTAAAGTGATTGCAATGCAGATATGTTTCTCCTCTTGGGTTATGCCTATCTTCCATGTAGAATTTATGTTTTACTCACAGTTATGACCAACTTTATGTATATAAAATACTAGCTGAACAAGTTGACAAATGAATTAATCTTTGGGAAATTATGGCCACAATACTGTAACTGAATAGTAGATTTATTATCTAGCCTCTGATTTTGGAAAATTAAATAAATTTAATTGTTGACTAAAAAATCTTTCAAGTTGTGCCTGCACATCTTCACTGAAGTATCTACAAGTGTCTACCTTGAAGATTTTGATTAAATAAACTATTATATAGTAAGATTATATTTGTTTCAGGTTCAAAAGTTTACTTCTTTATCCCTCTTTTAAGCATATACATATTTCTTTTTAAAATCAAATATCTATAGGCTATCTAAATTTCTAAAGTTAAAACAGTATTCTATTTTATTGAGAATATGATTTATAGAAAAAAAACTGTACTAGTACTTTAAACTGCTGTTGAATATGACAATTATAGCTATTCTATAAGAACCTAGTAAATATATTTTATAAGGTCATGAGTAATGAATCAATTACTTCATTTGGTGACTAGAATTTCCCCTTAAATGCAATGTTCATTTACTTCCAAATAAGTAAAAATATCCAGAAAGTTCTGGGATATAAAAAGAGAAGAGTTGATATACTTTACTGTCTATCTAATAACAGGTGGTCAACATGTACTTGTGGAATGAATAAAAATATACATTATGTCATGGAATGCAGAAAGTGATAAGAAAGATGGCAGGACTCTCTACTGTAGGTTTACAATATAATAGGAGAGAAAAAGGTGCAAATACCTTTCATATACAACAGTTCAAAATAACTGTCACCAAAGTTATGTGACTGAGGAGTTATGCTAAAATATCATCACTTATTTGTATAAAAAGCACATGTACAAACAATCACAAAGAAAATTAAGTATGATTCCTATTCTTTAAGATTACTTTGGTCAAAACTTTTCATACATAATTATTACCAGAGAACCACAAAGAAATAAGACATGCACAAGAAAAAATTACTGCTATTTTTGTGACCAAAGGAGGAAGGTACATGGCTGTAGCAAACAATTGAAGAGGGTAGGTAAAAAGAGAGTGTTTAAAACAACTTCCATTCTTTATAGCTCTTAGTGATCAAGTTTAGACTAATGAGCAAGAATCCTGTCCTTCCCCAAAGCATAAACTCCTCAATGAAAATGATTAATTTAAAAACTGGAAAGGAAGGAACACAGTCTTCCAATTAAATCCATTCATTCTTGCATTAGGACCATAGGATTTATTACATTAGGCAACTGTATCAAAAAATATTGCAGACACGTGGTATCAATTTTAAATATTTGTGACCTGATTACATTCCTGGACATGCATGGAAAAGCAAGAGTCAGAGATAGAAAAACAATTCCAGGTACATGGTAACTTTGGGCCCATCTTGCCTTAAATACAGTATGTCTATTCTATTTAAAATCTACTTCAACTTGAATGTCAGTTTAATTTTACAGCTTCTTAAAAATACAAAAACTGAGATGAGATTTCCCCCAGAAAAGCTTATCTAAAGATGTTTTTAATCCATGAGAATTAAGAAGACAATTTTATTTCAAAGAAGTCATGTTTGAAGTAAGTGTTCATTAAAAATGATAAAGCCCTTGAATTATTTTAATTTGGCAACATATAACAAAAGAAGTACTTGTGATGCTACAAAGATTTTCATAAACCATTATGAGCTAAAATGTAACTTGCTGTTCTCTCTTATTGTTGGAAAATCTAGAGTAATTTTTAATGTCATGTCATATTGCTGATATTTCACTTAGAAGCACATGATAGATACAGATTAATAATAAAGATTCAAAAGCAATCAAGTAATTTTCACAGCCCCAAAACTTATGAGAGGAAATTGTGATTCCCATGTTAGACATAGTGTCATGTAAAAATAAGAACTCTCACCATAAGTTGGAGTGCTTTCTCGTCTTCCTTGACTACTTGATCTTCCTTTTTCATATTCATAGCAATACAAGACAGTATCTTCTTCAACAATGTTAAACCTCTTTCGGTATTCCTGATCCAGAAATGAATTTGGTGATTCAGATCCTTTATGCACTGGCTTGCCCACCATATGTCCTCTGAGGTCTTCACAAGGAAGGTTTCCTTTTTCATCCCTAAAGAAAATTGTTAGAGTAAAGGAAAAGGATGTAGAAAAGTGTTAGGGGGGTAAAATGGGCAGAGTTTTTAAAATGCTAATAATAAACTTCCTATACAATATATCTCCTGTCTTTTTTTTTTTAATGTGTATGGTGCTGGGAATCCAACCCAGGGCCTTGTGCACACAAGGCAAACACTCTACCAACTGAACTATATCCGTAGTCGCTGATCTTTCCAAGTTTTCTTTGAAAATTAAAGGAGGCTGAGGCAGGAGGATTACAAGTTCAAAGCCATCTTCAGAAATTTAGTGGGCCTAAGCAACTTAGAGAAACCCTGTCTCTAAATAAATAAATAGGCTGGGGATGTGGCTCAATGGTTAAGACTCTCTGGGTTTCATTCTTTATTCAAAGAAAGAAAGAAAAAGAAAATTATAGGAAAACTTTTAATTATTCCTATTTTGCAAGAAAAAAATTCTGAGACTCAAGTTAAATGACTTGTCTAATAAATGACGTAGCTAGAAATGGACCATGGATCTTTTAACTATTGCTTGAGTTCATTTTTCACTGTAAAATCTCATCCATAGGAAATAATTTTAGCATATAAATTGCTCTAGTATTCAAGTCACTATGTATACTACTAACAATGTTATTTTAACCATATGCCTTTTTTTTCTGCCAGATTACCTAACTGATTTTTTGGTAAAATGTGTGCTACTTAAAAACAAAGATGTATATAAGATTTATCACTTACATAACGAATATCATGGTGACAGAAACCAAATTAGCCCTATATAAATTGGTATTGTAGTGACTTCAAACAGCATGTCATTAATTTAAGACTCTTAGGAGACTTGAGAAAAAATATGTATCTTAACACATCAGTAATGCTTCTTGTGGAGAGATTTATAAAACATGGACTTTAAGAATGGGATATATGGGGTTTCCAAAACCTATTACTTACATAGTACTTGATGATTAGGATCATGATGAATGGCGTTTTGATAGAAATATTCTGTTTAGGATTGGTTAAGCTGAACCTTGTTTATGTTATGAAATATTTCACTAATTACCTGTGCATTCATTTTAAAAAAAGCTTGTCTTCTAAAGTATAACTAGGAATGTAAATGCAGTATTTCTTCACTTATGGATCACAAATCAGTGTTATTGAACCAGAAAAAGAATTAATTTTATGTTAAGCTCTAGGGCTAAAAATCTTAAAGATGTAGAAAAACTGAAATATAAATATATAAATATATATGTATGTGTATATATATATATACATACACACACATATACACATATATATTTATCTAAGGCCCATTATAATTTATACAATGGTGATGAGTTTATAAAAGTAATGTTATTTCCAAAATATGTGTCTCAGAGCAAAAATCTATATTTTTTTGCATCAGTGCGAAAATGTTTAGATGTCTAAAATGTAGGGAACTATATTCCCAGTACTTTAAATATGGAAAAAGTAATAAACAATATTCTTAAGACAGACTAAACTGAATCAGTAAGATGTCTTATAATTTAACCCATCACAAGATGAGGTTTATATTTATATTGACATTTACTCTTTTATTTTCTAAAATGATTGCTTATAACCAAAATATGCCTATATAGTTCTTAGGCAATGAGAAGAAAATAAATATAAAAATTCATTCAGAATTTCATTTTCAATTAGCTGAAAGCTTTCCTGAACAAATTGCCTGGCACTTTTTGTTACTCTATCAAAAAGAAATCGACACTACGATTAGCCTGGAAACAGCTCTAATGAATTCATGGCACTGGACTAAGGTTATGCCTACCTATAAATGGGCAAACTTTTCTATCAGGCCTGTGACATGAATACTAATGTAGCTGAGATCAAGGGTGATTCAAATCCATTAATTCACCTTGCTATATGTATATGAACACAGCCAGTGGCAGAAAGTTTGAAGGGCTGATATTTTCTACCATATAATGATATGAAGAAGTGTCTTAGATCAACAAGGCAGATGTGTTAGACATGTCTATATGGCACTAAAACAATGCTAAGTTAAGAAAAGTAAAAAAGAAGCCCAACTTTCCAGTGGAATGAGTTGATATGTTTACGAGTATGTGTGCATGTATATGTGTGAGTTGTGTATATAAGTGTGTGTATAGTATGTACTCATGTAATGAATCCCTGAAGAACTCAATGTATTAATTCATTGTACTATAAACATTTTAACTGTTCTTAAATTAAACCTTTATAAAATATGTAATAAATCTACATTTTGACCTAGAAAGGATTTAAGAAAGGATGAAGATAACATTGCTTTAGTGGACACATAGTAGAGTTAATTTGGTTAAATATAAAATGCACAATAAATTACAATAATTTAGCATATAGTCACAAGGCATAATAAAATTCCAAGCAAATCTCACATACTTTACATACATGAGTGTTTTCAGTTTTAGAGGAAAAGGCATGTTTATAGTCACTTTTTTACTTTTTGTTTTTTACTGGAATAAATACGTTTGAAAAATTTAATGACATAAAAAAATCTAAACTTAATGACTAGTTGTACCATTTTAAGTTGCTTTTTATTAAGATGAGAACCCTTTTTGTTTATTTAAAATCCAAATGAAAACTGCAAAAGGTTTTATGACTATAACTTCAAGTCAGACCAAAACATGCAGATGATTTACATAATGTTGTGGTTCAAAGGGGCTTTGATGCATGGGCTGTTCTGATTGAAGTATCAAAAGACTGACTGAGTAAATACAAATATGACTCAAAATGTCTTTAGAATATTCTACTAAATTATATACTGACCAAATAAAAATCAATTGAGATAATATATACTACTTTTATGAATTTTACTGAAAAGTATGGAGCTTTCAGTTTATCCTGATAAAACAATGACCAATATGTTGACATTTCAACTTTTCTAATATTTTTAAATAGTGTGTTCAAGCTTTTTATTGACTTAAAATATCTTCACCATACTCACGAGGACAGGACTGGTTCATTTTACTGTTTTGTTTATCTAAAGTGTATCTTAAATCCTATTTGTCTTGGAGATCATTTCCTTTTAACAAATTCATCCCTAACCCAAGTGAATAGGAAAGAACATTTAAAAATTGTGGAAATTTGTTAAGAAACATTTTTAAAATATTTATCTTTAAATATAGTCCTCTGAAGGATAAGGCTTGTTACATAATCATTTGCACTGAAATATAAATATTTTCAATGAAAATGAAAACCATAAAAAGTAGCTTCCTATTTTTTTCAGTGCTTCTCATGCAAGAGTATTCAGAAAATCTGACACTGTTTTAACAGAATTAAAATGTAACTTATATTTTTACTCATGTTGGATAGATCTGTACATCTGATTGTAAATTGAACATAAGATTGCAAATTACACAATGGAAAGACTTATGAAATGTCAATTATTTTTTTCTATAATTTATTTTTCCACAACTCCATTTAATTCTCAAAAATAAGAATCTATGTGTATATACATACTGGTTATAGTTTTATTACTAGATGACAACATAGTATTTGTGGATATGTCATATTGCCATATAGCATTTAGATTATATAACATCAGTATTATTGTATTTAATAGAATAAATATCTCTGAAACACTACGTATACTAATACAACATACACTAGTATGGCAGTATATAAAAACGTGGATGTGTAACTGATGTGATTCTGCAATCTGTATACAGGGTAAAAATGAGAGTTCATAATCCTCTTGAATCAAATGTATGAAATATGATATGTCAAGAGCTTTGTAATGTTTTGAACAACTAATAATAAAAAATAATGAAAATTAAACATGAGGAGTTCAATTATTTTCTATACAGAAGAAATTTAATATTAAGTACTGCTTAGTAATAACAGAACTTAAATTATTATTTTTGAGTGACTGCAGAATTAATTTAAGAATTGAATCAAATTCTTTCTGATTGGTGTTTATTATTCCCAATACTGATGGCCCTTTCCATAATTTTTGTATTCACAAGCTAGATATCAGAATGCTTTTGGATAGAATGCATTATGGCACGAAGATGTAATCTTTCACTCCTGCCAGGAATTTCTTATAAAGTCTAGAAATGAAATGGAGATTCAGCCCCAAGAAATTTAGACAATAGAATTTAAAGGCAATTCGTTTTCTTGTAAACACTATTGCCTGAAGAAAATATTAATGAACTAATAAAGTAAAACCTCTAGATACTAAGGCATTGGGGGGAAAACACTCTCCCTCTTCTCCTCTTCCTCATCATTAAAAAGTAATCCCTCTATATATTTAAGAAAGTATAAATGTTCTCTATAAACGCTCTTTTTTGAAAAAATTGAAATGCTTCAAACTAGACTGAGATATTCTCAGCTTCTTAGCCAGAATGCTTCACTTACTTTGTACTTATTAAAATAATTGTTACTTAATATTACCTTCCTCTTCTTTCTTCTAAGAGATAAGGAGGATAAGATATTTAATGCATACTAAATATTTAATACAAATTAGTTACTGCTATTATTAACCAACCAAAGTTTGTTCACTATAATGGGAATGATTTTCAAAATGTATTCAGAATTCCTGAAAAAGTATTCACAGCGTTCCTCAAGAGTTGACTTTGTAGTTTATATGCTATTAGTTTAATCTTTAAGTAGAAGTTGCCTAGAACAACATGATAGTTTTATACCTGGGAATATATGGTTCTGCAGGTGGAGGGGGAATGTAGAGATCCTGGAGGGCAGAACTGTCTCTCTTGGTGGGGGTACTGATGGTGCTGGAAGGCGTGGCAACACTGCTTGTGGGACTTCTAGGTATAAGAGGCTGGTTAAAATGAAAAAGAAAATACATACACACACAAACAACACAAAACAACAACAACAATGACACATAGTTATCATTTTAAAATGATCTATTTCTGCAAAGTTTTTGAACTTGGCTGAAATCAAGAAGGATGTTATTTAGTACATGGATATTCCTTTGAGTCTCCAAAAATAAATGATATATATTAGAGGTTACTTCTTAGTTCCCAACTCACCTTTTCCTGTGATCTAACCACCTAAAAGCTAATTATGAGGGAAAAAATTACCATGTACTGTTTTATAATGGGAAGATTTATCTCATAGTCAGAACCTTATTTAAATTAACTTTGTCAGAATCCCACTTTCGAAAGAAAGATAACAAAGAGTAATTCATAGAAGAATTAACTTGCTTACATCTTGACTGATATACAAGAGAGCTATTTCAGATCTCACCAAAAAAAAAAAAAACAAAAAAAACAAACAAACAAAAAAACAAGCTCCACTCTTAGGTTTGTAGAATGTCATAGATTCTCAGAGAAGGCAACAAAAGTGGATTATGAAAGACCAATATGAGACAGCATTTTCTAGGAAAATGTACCTTTTTCAGTCAATATAAACATAGCTAGCTGTCTCCTTAAACTCATTTTATGGTACATCTTCAAAAGTATGGTTATTAATGTAACACAATCATTTCACCTTTCATAGGCACACACATTTATCTCATTTTAAATAATCTTCAGTTGCATATTGATAGATCTCAATTTCATGTTTGTATATACACAATGAATAGGAGTTTGTTTACTTTTATGTTAAGAGACTGTATATATTGAAGTAAGCCATACATCAGGATGCATTAAAAGCATCCCAATTCCAAACTTCACAGCATTTGTAAATAATCTTGTAGTTCAAGAAATTATCCTAAAGTGAGATAAAAATTCACAATTTTTAATGTTTCTCTTACAGATCTTACTGATTAACTACACATACAATTAACATTAAAAATAAGAATTTCTGTGCAATCTCAAATACCAAAGTAATGATCACAAAATGAACTGCATCTCCTCATGACAATATGTTGCCATTTTAGCCAGTATGAAAACACTTTAGTATATCTAGATAGACCCACAGTTCTATTATTTAACATGCATTTTGGACATTCATATAATGGCATAGTACAACTATTTTATATTGCAACAATACTTTTGTACAGATAAACAAAATTTGTTCAAAAAGCCAAGGATAAATACAGTGGAAAGTACAATGCAGGTCACTGGGATAGACTACATAGTTTAAGACTCATTTCATGATTTTTCATGTTCCTTGTTACACAGCTCACCTTAAAAGCTTGCAATCAAACATCCTGCCAAAATGATGGTTAAGTTTTAATCTATGTGAAATATAAATTAAAGAAAAAGAGAGAGAAGGGAAAAAGGGAATGATAATGTATTTTGGGGCTTTACAAATCCATCTCATATGATGTTAAAGTTAGAATCTTTACATACTAATTCAAGAATTTTAAGAAATTATGAAGGTGTACAGTAAAGACTACTATGGTAAACAATACTGATTTCTGAAAACAGAGTCCAGTTAAGCTATGCCTGTCCTTTAGGAGCAAAACTCTTGGCAACAGGAAATCTTAAGATTATATAAGTAATCAGAGGAGCCACTTATACTGATGAACACCATGAAGCCTAAAGGAACAACTGCATTATTTTGAGGTTGTGTTGCACACCTCTGCAATAGATCGTTGAATAACATGTTTAGAGATAACATGTTTATGTTCAGTGTTACATCTATGTAATCTATAGTCACTATTATGTGACTGTTTATAGTTGTTTTCCTCTCTGTAAGTATAACTTGGCTCTAAATGTAGATGACACTAAATAATAAGTCTGATGAAAATTTCACCATAATAGAAATGCAGTAAAGAAAAATTTTGTTACACAGTATATTATTTTCCAATAATTTAAAACTGATGCACTGACAGAAAAGCTAATACTCAATATGCTTTTAAAATGCTCCAATAGATCTCTTACTTTAAAATATCTTAAAACTTCATACCAAGTTTTAAAGTATAAGCTTTTAAAAATAATCTACCACACTTATTTGTCTTTCTACAATTTTAGTGTCACTTTTTCTAGTTTGAGGATTTCTCTCCTTTTCTTCCACCATCTACAGAACTGTGTGTTACTTTTCTTGGGTAGTACCTATCATCTTCTCCCCAAACAAGAAATAAGGGAAAAAACAGTAGTAGTAAATGGTTACAAGTATATTCAACATATTCCTTAAGTATCAGATAAAAACTAATAAAATATTATATTTTGCCTGGACTATTACCAGGATGGTCAACCTATGGTACCTGTACCTTTTCCTTTCTAGGAAAATTCAATATTAACCATGTCAACTTGCTTCAAATTGCTATTTTTCAAGGTTTCTATTTTCAGCAAGGAGTTGCTACTAGCATCATCAGTTAATATGATTAGCTAAATTGGCAAATACAGAGAGAAAAAAGACTTTAAAGTATTTGAATAGATAAAAGATTTGATTATGTCAAGCTGGTTCAATTAAAAAAACTTGTTTTTACAGAGAAAAAAAGAATTAGTCAATCCTGTTGTTTAACTAAACTGGTTTCATATTTTATTGACTGGTAAATCATAGAAAATATTTCAACTAGTTTCTCAAGTAGTTATATAATCTAGCTTATGTATATGCTTAATTACCAAGTGAAGTTCATAGTAAATTATTCAATATATTCAGTATATTTCTGTTTACTTATCATGCTATTATTGTCAAGATAATAAAGATGAGAAAGTAGTCATTCTTTTTGAGAACAACATTTTTTATACCAGGAATTGAACCCAGGGATGCTTAACCACTGATGTACATCCTCAGCCCTTATTTTATTTTTTATTTTGAGACTGAGTTTCACTAAATTGCTTAGGGCCTTGCTAAATCGCTGAGGCTGGCTTTGAATTTGCAATCCTCCTGCTTCAGCCTCTCGAGCCTCTGGGATTATAGGTGTGCACTGCCACGTCTAGTTAGAGTTTCATTTAAAAAAAACAACTCAGACATTAGGCAAGGGGGAAAATACAGTATGTTAAATTAGAAGCTTCATGAGAAAATAAAAATAGATTCTTAACCCAAAAGAACTCTGGGAAGATTTAAGATTATAATCTCTTAAAAATTTTAATGGTGGAAAAGAGTGCAAACTTAAATGACTAAAGAATGAAAAAGGCATTAAAGAACTCTAGAAAGTTAGGTAAAACTGAATCACAGAATGAATGATGCAATTAGCTGAAATTATCAGTGAGAAATTCTTATTTAACAAGCAGCATTAAAAATACACCTACCACCAATAATCATTCATGTGAAAATACACAGATTATAACAAACATAGTTTCCCTCAACTCAAAAATGGAGTTCGCTTAGCAATTTAATAAGCATATTCCTTAGATTATAAAACTAAATAAGAGTATAATAATGTAAAAAGAGAGTGTCTCTTATCCTAGCAACATTTACTTTTGATAATTTGTCCATAACATAACAAAAACAGTTACCATTGTACTATAAAGGGTTTCCAAATTAAGAAAAAGTGCAGTAATAAAGGGTAATATTCTTTTCTTTTACCATTTTGACATTCTGACCCTATATTGGTAAAATCTGTATGGGAAGAGAATTATGAACTACCAACATTTATGTATAAAACACAAGAGTATTACTTTAGGACTGCACCTTATTATTCAAGTAAGCATAAAGCTTCAGTATAGCCTGATCCACTATGGCAATCAAGTATGATGTAGATCCATTATGAATCCCATCCAAAGTGGTTTATTTCCTTGGAGGATCTGGTCATATCATTTATTTGTCATTTCTAAATGATCCTTGTGACATAAAGCTCTCCTTGTACATATTCAATGAGGCGCCAACAGCAAAGACACATTTGCATGTATGTTGTTAAAAACAAATCTGATAGATTTTGAGGGGACACTGACATTTATCTCTATAAATGTTCAAATTCTAAGTAATCTAATGCATCATCTTTAAACATATATTTATAATCCTAGATCAATTAATTATAACTTACTGCTGTCAACAGGACTCAGAGATCTTTTAAGTAAAACTTACATACACATTTTCATAGTATCAATTTAAACTATATAAACACTTTAAATTTGTATCTTAAAATATGATATGGCACAAATCTGCCTCTAGATCATAAGCAATAACTTTAGCAATAATATCCTACTCATCCAGCTTAAACATCATTGGAAGATTGTGATTGTTCCAAAAATTGAACTTCAAGCTTTTGTAAGGAATCAATGAAATCTCACTTTAAATACTCTGATGGCTCACGTCTTATCTTTGTGCCTCCCAATTCTAATGTCTCTAAGATAACTGAGCACTTCTGGGAAGGATTCTGTACCTCTGAAACCCATATGGTCGTAAAGACTATGGAAAAAGAACTTCTATATATAAGGAAATCTCTTGGCAAGAGATGTTAAAATGTAAATTTAGTTGTCTTTCTGTATAGAAAGTGACCCAGCTTTGATAAGAACCATAATAGTCTCGAAAGAAACAACAATATAAAGAATGACCTCAACTTTAAAGATTAAAACACTATGTTACGTAGTTAGCTTTAAAAGTCACTGATGCCGAGATCACATAGAGTTTGATTTTGCCTTCTGGGGGTGAGGATACCCACTGAGATACAAATGATTACATCAAATATAAACCTGGCCATTTATTTTATTCACTCTTGGGAACAAACACAAACAAGTGGATCACAACACCCCAATATTCTAAAACAGGACTTTTATACAAGACCTTACTCAGTTTAGACACATTATAATTCCCCAATACTAGTATCAGAACACTACTTTATATTAACAACTCTTTCCTTAATCATCTAAACAAATGTCCACAGAAAATGTATTCTGGATTTTTGGAAGGCAAGAATTTGTGTACAAATTGTAAGTTTCTTTATCATGTAAAGAATGTTAGATCTAATTTGGAAAATTACTC